TCAACAGTTCTCTGTATATTCTGTTATCCCCCCGTGATCTGGTACTCCAATCACTCGTAGGTTATTCCTCTTGATAGAGTCCCACATAATTCTTAGGGTTTCTTCATTTTTTAAAATCCTTTTATCTGATTTTTCCTCAAATAAGTTGGTGTCAAGTGCTTTATCTTCGGTCTCACCAATTCTGACTTCCATTGCCTCAGTTTTGCTCCTGTGACTTTCTATTGAGTGTTCTAATTCTGACATTTTATTGTTAATCTTCTGGATTTCTGATTGCTGTCTCTCTGTGGATTTTTGCAGCCTGTTGAATTTGTCATTATGCTCTTCTCTAATCTTTTTAGTTGCGTCTATTGCGTGTTCTACATTTTGCTTAATTTCGTTACTAATTTCTTGAACAGTTCTGTATATTAATCTTTTGTATTCTGCCTCCAGTAATTCCAAGAAATTTTCTTTCTCTGGAAAATTTCTAGATTCTTTCTTTTGGGAGCTTGCTGAAGCCATCATGGATTGCCTCTTTATGTGATTTGATATTGACTGTTGTCTCCGAGCCATCAGTAAGTTATTATATTTATGAATTTTATGTTTACTTACTGTGTCCTAGCTTCTTGTTTTGTTTCAATATGCCCAAATAGGCTGCTCGTATGAGCTAGTTTGATTATTGGCACCTTTGAAGCTCTAATGTCCTGTCACCAGGTGGTTAGATCTGTTACTAGGTATGTGAGCTCAGGAGTCTGCCCACTTCTCCTGTATGGATTCACCTCAGGTGCCCAGGTAGATAGCCACCAAGTGTGTGGTGTAGGGTCTCACTAACAGTCCTAGACAGTCATGGGTGATTGGTGTAGGCACAGGCATCTAGCTGTAACAGGGGGACACACTGTGAGCAAGGCAGGCGGCTGACAGCTGCCCCCGAGTGTCCAGGAGGAAATTGTGTCCCTCTTCCCTAGAGCGCGTAGGTGGGTGGGTTTTGCAGCTGGACTATGAGCATCTAATGCTGTTGGCTGTAAGGACGGATGGGCATCTCTTATTCATGGGCCCTTATTGCAGGTGGCTAGGTGGCGTAGGTGGAGCCAGCAGTCCTCAGGCCCCTGATGTGGGTAGGTGAAGACCCTGCTTAATGGCCAGAGCAATGTCAAATGTCAAGAACCTACCACCTCACAGCTGAAACAGTTGAAGTTAGAGTTCTGGTATATATCCTGTTGTACTGCGGTAATGAGGGCCTACGCTGTTGAAATGGGCCCACACAAGTCTATGAAGGGGGAAAGGCACTCAAAGTTCATGGATGCCTTATGCCTGTGCCTAGGCAAAGGAGCTATGCCTACCCTGGGTTCCTGGCTTAGGGGAGTTGGCAGTTTATTTTTTCCTGTTTGTTAATTTGTTCACTCTCCAAGGCAGTGAGAATGGCTCCGTGTGTGTGACGGATC